GATGGACTTTAAATGGTTTGGAAATGGCCTTATAACCCTTCCCAGATTGATGGGCAGCAACGATTGCTTCTCTAAGATCATCGCTGATGTCTTTACTCTTTGGCATTGGGTTAACACACACCTCAATGGTCAGGACCAGCAAACTCCTAAAACTTCGGCTGTTATAGAGGTAGCCACACTTGCTGATGATCAATTGATCAAGGGCATTTGATTAACAGCACTTGGCCGCTACTTAGCCTCTTCATACCTATGGAAGCAGTAAGGGTATACTTAGTTTTTCACACATGGCTTCTCCATTTTGGCTTTCTGTTTGTAAAATAAATGATGACATGGTGTAATATGTCATGTTCATCTGAGGTTGTATTTTTATTATGTCCTGATTTTTTATTATGTCCTGATATGTAAAACCATAGAACTCAAAAAGGGTGTACTTTCTTTTTCATATAGCTGTATATGTGTATAAATCTGATGTACAAACACCAGTGACAAGTAACACTACACGTAATCAGGAAGACAATCAAAAGGAAGGGAGGAGAAATAAGACTGTAAAATAAGTAGAATTTTACTACTTGAAAGCAGTAGAGACAGTGAAAAAAACCTTATAACAAAAACCGCTGACCACACACACACACAAATAAGCACTTCTAAATTTTAAGAAGCATATATAACATCTATATGTATTAGTAATCTTTCCTTTTATTGGCCATTCCATCTTGTGGACAATTTACTGCCCATTTTTAATTAGAATTTGATTGAGCAGAGGGCGAGGAATAAACCATCTCCTTTTCACTGTGCCTCTAGTAAAATATATATACTTCCTTCCTCCTGATTACTCTGTAAAATAAAGAACATGTAATCAACACTTAATTCAATGTTGGCAGCAAAATGAATGAAACCAGACAGAAAACAGAGATCTGTTCTGTGGATGTTTTTTTCAGGGAGGGATCAGCCACACATCACTGAAAAAGTTGCCCCTCAAATATAATGTATGGGAATTGTTCACTTTGTAATACATGTGACTTTCAGAAGAAAAAATATAACTAATTAGAAATTCTGTCAAATGTGCAAATTTGGGGCTGTCAATCTAATGTTTTGATTTCTTTCCTGCTGGAATTTTATCGTCCTAAATGCTGTTATGATATGTTGGGATGACCATATTCCGGGAACCATCTTAGGATCAAAGGTATAATCAAGTCCCATTGGTAGCTTTCAAAGAAGAAATGGGTGCATATTTATTTTGTCAGTTATTCAAGAATTCAGTTCAAAATCAATTCTGAGTTGCACCTGGGGGGTCTTTTTTAGCTGTTTATGTTTTGTAAATAATGTGAAAACGGATTGCGACCCTCAAATAAGTCAGTTTTCTAAAAGAAATCCCACCGCCAGTCGTGACATTAGCTTTACTCCTCAGTAACTGAAAATGCACTGATTGGCTTGTTTGAAATTTGAGCGGCTCTTCTGACTGGATGAAATCAAATTAACCCGCCATTGCTTCGAGGCGGGAAGTGGTAACGTTCCCTCTTAGTTTTCCTTCTGGTCGGACTCCTCTGTATATAAAGCACTAGCCACGAGCGGCGAGCATAATCGCTCTTTTGGTCGAGAAGTGAGTGTGTAGCAGAGATGTCTGGTCGCGGAAAGGGAGGCAAAGGCTTGGGAAAAGGTGGCGCCAAGAGGCACCGGAAAGTGCTTCGCGATAACATTCAGGGCATCACCAAGCCGGCGATCCGCCGTCTGGCTCGTCGCGGAGGCGTGAAGCGTATTTCGGGTCTGATCTATGAGGAGACTCGCGGCGTCCTGAAGGTCTTTTTGGAGAACGTGATCCGGGATGCCGTGACCTACACCGAGCACGCCAAGAGGAAGACGGTCACCGCCATGGACGTGGTCTATGCCTTGAAGCGCCAGGGCCGCACCCTCTACGGCTTCGGCGGCTAAGTTTCTTTGCTGCTAATTCTGCTCCTAAAAGGTCCTTTTAAGGGCCGCCTCCATTGTCTAAAAAGGGCTGTCCCACTTCGTGTGTAAAAAACTGCAAAATACAAAAACGCCTTTTGCTATTGGTTTGCCTTCGTGCTCCTTGGCGTTTGCATTTATATGGAAATAGCGAACGGACAGATGTTAACTTGCTGTTTAAGGACTATTGTTTCCAAGCAGCAGAGTGGCGCAGCGGAAGCGTGCTGGGCCCATAACCCAGAGGTCGATGGATCGAAACCATCCTCTGCTAAGAAGATAGTTTGTTTTTCCCCCCCCCTCCTTATCGGTGCTGGAAGTACTTAACCTACAGCTGCCGTCCGATACGCTTTTCTCTGCACTTTAGCTTTTCTATTTCATCTAGTTTAGTAGCAAATGTTTAAAACTAGTGAAAGGGAGAGAACAAAAAAAACTCCATGGAGGATGGTTTTGATCAATTAACCACCGGGCAATGGGCCCAGTGTATTTCTACTGGTGTGTCTGCTGTATCTACAAAAAATTTTAATTTGGTGGATACCAAATACACTATTGGAAGCCAGTATATGAATGTAGCTATAAACGTCTGCAGTTTGCTAGGCTGTTCCCAGATACTCTGCACATTGAATTAATGAACTAATCTTAAATGAGAATAGCATTGATATCTTGAGTCTCCTTTTCTCCCTATTGATAGCTGATTGCAAATTTCTTCTCTGCAAACAAAATAAGGCTGTTGCATGAAAATACATAAAAGAAAATTTGAGCCAATTTTATTACAGCTGCTGCTTTGAAATGGCTCATGCATTAACAATAATTTAATTCTTAACTCCCTGGGTTTTGTTTAATTGCTTCATTTTGGAGCTGTGCTTCTAGACCTACACAAGTGTTTGGATTTTTAAAATCAAAAGGAGCAAGGTTACCACCATGCCACCCTCCTTGTTCTTAGAAACTACAATAGGACACGGGAGATGTAGCAATCTTCTGGTATTCAGGAGATTAAAAGTACAGGGCCCAAAGCTCCCTCAAAACTGTAGTGGATTGTAACAGGAAAACCAGTAAAGATATAGGGAGTAACCCATGAATGGGACTTTAATGAACTTTACTCTTAATAACATTACATTAATTACATTTCATCCCAGACAGGCTTGAGCAATGGGTTGAGATGTACTGGATTAAATTTAACAGGGAAAAATTCAAAGTTCTAGATCTAAAGAGACTCAGAGCATTTGGTAGATCATCAGTAAGCCAACTTTGTGATGCATCTGCTAAAAAGCAAATACTACATGGGGATTTATTAAGAACAGAGTCCAGATCAGAGGAAGTAATCACCCGTGTACTCTGCCTTAGCCCTGCTGGAATACTGTGTCCAGCTTTGGGTATGTCAGTCTAAAACAAACTAGAATAGTTCAGAGGAAGGCTACCAAGATGGTGAGGGGATTGGAACTCAAGTCCTCTGAGGAACAATAAAAAGAACTGGTTCTGTTTAATTCACAGAAGAGAAGACAAAGAGGCGATCTGGTAGCAGTTTTCAGATATGGATTGCCTTAGAATAGAGTGTGGACTTGTTCTGTTGCTCCAGGGGGCAGGGTGAAAAGCAGTGGGTTGAAACTAAAGCAAAGTAGATTCAGGTTAGAAGTTAGGAGAAATTTCCTGATAAGAGCCAATGGAATACGTTGCCTCAGGAAGTGGTAGATCTTCAGAAGAGATCCAAACAGGCTGGTCTGAAATGCTTAGCAGATCCTGCTCTGAGTGGTCAGCTGGACTTGATGTCAACTCAGATCCCTTTCGATTCTTTGAAGGTCCTCAAGGCCCATGTACGGCACACCCTCTATCTTAGCCCTGTATTATTTGCTTGTTCATATGATTTGTTTTAAAAAGAGTTTACTATAGTGCACAATTTCCAATTTATGCAGAATTCAGCCACTTTGCTCAGTCTATTTGCCTTCGCTCATATTGGGACTACAGTTCCCAGAATTCCTAACTGGCAAGGTCAGAACCTGGGAATTCTGGGAGCAGCAATCTGCTGGTAAATCAGGTTGAAGACGGGTAAGTTATAATCTCAACCACAGAAGACAATTTATGCTGATGCCCTGTTGTACAGCAGACAGCTAATTAAGTGACCCTTTTCCTTGATCTCAAGTCCAGGACCAGGAAATTCTAAGTTACGGGAAGTTGAAAACTATGATGGCAAATATAATTTTAGGCTACATCAGTAGAAGAGAGCATTCAAATCATGGAGAAGACGACTTTGGGGGATAAGAGCACCCTTTTGTACAACTGGATACCGTTCAGAAGGCCAGCCAAGACTGTTCTCCAGCCTTTCACAATGCAGGAGTTGGAATCAGGGCCTGATGTTGCTGACTGTAGATCCTGGTTGCATGCTAGGGAAAAAAATTCCTAACCGTAAGAGCAATTCCACAGTGGAACCAGAATTGTAAGGTGAGTGGGTGGCCTTGAAAATCAAAGAAATAACAATACTAACAGGAACAACCACAGTAACAGAAACCAGCCACCCTGAGGATTGGTTCAAGCAATCTTTGAAGGACACTTGAAGATTGAAGGTCAAAATCTCAGTATGTCATCTTCCATGTGACAACACTCTGGGTGCAATTAGAATGAGTGAACAGGATGTCTTTGGCTCCCCACCCCTCCCACCTGACCGCTGCCCTGATTTTCATTCAAGGATGGGGTAATTGCAATAAAGTGATTAAAAAAGTCTTTCAAACAGCTTTTGATCAGCAAATATTCCTAGCACAATGGTTGCTGGCTGGTTTTCCACACCCTCAAAGCGGGCTGTGTTAGGAGATCTGCTTTGACCTACAATCTAAAATTCAACAGCAGAAGCAGCAATGGTCCCTATTTCAATAGTTATGTCAGATGTAATTTATTGGTTATAGCACTGTATGTCAACAAAGAACTGGGGCTGGGAACAGGGATGTCCGCTTGGGGGAGGTCAAAAAAGTCAAAATGACGGCCGTGCAACACGCAACAAACATTAAAAAGGGGTGGGGCTTTGGGACCCCTTTGTGGCCATCATCCTGACTTTTTTAAACCCCCCTGCAGACACCCCTGTCTGGGAGGTTGTAATAAAGTTGCCTTTTTTAAGTCCAGTGAAATGACAACTGAGTCCCAGGTTTAGCCATTCCCTCTTTCTCTCCAATTAAAAATTAACAAAAATCCAATTCAGCCATTTTTGTGAATGACAAAAAAGGATGGTGAAACCGGAGAGGTTGCTTCAGAAGCATTAACAGGCTTGCAGAAGGCAAGATAGTTGTAGAAGATAAAACGCCTGGATGAATCCACCCTTTTCCTTAACAGCCGCATGTGCTATCCAGCTGCACAACAACGACCGCTGGTGCGCAAGGCTGGCAACTAATTCCCCTTTATTCATCTGCAATGGTTCTGTGCCCACCAAACCCACAAGGACTTCCAGCCACTTACAAACCACACACAAAACCACGAAAGCCATCACAGTTCCCGATGCAATTTCACAAACATAACCCCAGCCTCCATGTTAAGCAAATACATGTCTGGGTTTGTCAGTCTGTACCTATTCCTGAATTTTATTTTATTTTTTAATGGATGCTGCAAAAAATCCTCAGGACAACTGACATGCATCCTGGATGCCATCCTATTTAATAATACATCTTATTTAATAACATGTTTTATTTAATAATACATCAAGAAGGAGAAGGGATATGTGGAGGAGGAGGAGGGTTATTCAATTTGGCCTGTCAGATTTGGGCTGCAGGAATCATGCCAGCACTATGGGGCAGCAACGAGTCACAGCTTTTTGCCTCCTCCGTGCCCTCTCGTGATTGTCTAGGTTTTTGCAGGCAAGACTTTGCCCCAACCTTCCTCCTGGGATAACCACCTCCATGCCCTCTTCACATCCCTAACTTCAGAAATCAAGGGGTGAAATTGACCCTTTAAGCAACAGGCCGTCATGCCCGTGCTTGGGGTTGTCCCCTTCCTTCCTCTCCAGAGACCAACTTCCGTGTTCCTCTTCATTCAGCGTCTTCCGTGCTTTTTTTGTTTCGGAACAGCAAACTCTACAGTGGAGGGTTTGGGGGGCAAAAAATTGCCTTCTGGGTGAAAATGGGCTCGTCCGGGATTTGAACCCGGGACCTCTCGCACCCGAAGCGAGAATCATACCCCTAGACCAACGAGCCACGTCCTGCGAGGCGGCTTCCCGTCATCCCCTTCTCAGGCTTATGACATCACCCTCGCCGCCTCTTCCCCGGGATGAAAGCGGCGCCTTTGCCTTCCGTCTGCAATAAAAGGCGGCCCCAAAATGTCGCTTTTCGCGCCCGGGGAAGGGGAGGGAGCCGAGCCTCCACCCACCCTTGCCCCGGTCTCTGCCGAAAAACCCTCCCAAGCCCCGAATGGCGCCAGGCGCCTCGCGAATCCCCCTGGAGGGTCGTGCACGCTTCTCCCCCGCCCTCGCCTCTTTTCCTCGGGCACGAAAGCATTAAGGCTAAAGGCTTTTTCAAAGGGTTGCCCCTCGTTCATGCGAGGCGCGGTTCATGCAATCTCGCTTTGGCTTTCCGACTGGCCCGGTTAGCTATGGAAGGGGTGCCTCTGAGCATGGTCAGAGGGCGCGTCTCCTTAACTCCCCCCCGCCCCAGTGGTTTGCTCAGACGTCAAACTCCCTTCTCCGTGCTGAAAGCAGCAAAACCCGCAGACTCAGCCGCCCGAGGATTCAAACGTGATGCACAGGAGGCGGGAGGAAAATGACTTCATTGTAGCATCATTAGGTTGCAAGTTGTGGTTTGCTATGAGGAAGGTACTCAGAAAGGCCCGCGCAGGTTTTCCTCGTTAGTATAGTGGTGAGTATCCCCGCCTGTCACGCGGGAGACCGGGGTTCGATTCCCCGACGGGGAGGCTGATACTTTTCCTAATTTTAATTTTCACAAGCCTTCCTTGGGGTTCTTAAGCAGGTCCGCTTGCAATGCACGAGCTCAGTCTCGGTGCAAGAGAGCCATGCAGGACCCCGCCCGTTTTATTTTTTTCCACAGCTCCAAGAGTTTCCAATTCTGGGCATAAATGACATTCCACGTCTGAATTCTACCTTCTCCCAACGCGGGAGTCGTTCCC